TTCTATAGCGAGCAATACACGTAACTGTTGCCAAAAGAACTTATGTTTCTATTTCACATGATTCCTGAATGTTATTTTCCAGTGAAAACCTGTCAAAACGTTAACTTTTACTAGGGTGCTCATATTGCCTCGTATGGTTGTTGATCGGAGCAAAACCTGAAATTTTTCAAACATAATAATTTATTGAGTCTATCATATTTTATCCATATTTTGAACATTGTATATTATCAAACATATTCCAAAGCATGAGCATGTTCGCAGCTATCATACATTTATGAATGTTTTTCATGTGTTATGATGTGTTTTTCTTAGGGGGACCATATTGCCCCTATCTACCCTAGACAATTCTAGAGCAGCACATTGAACATACCCGTGAACACGTAGATCACCGTTATTAAAGCCATGGTAGAAATTTCGTCCGGAACGAACCCTTTATTCACCTTGCATCTTTTGTCACTGCTATGAGTTCCTCCTTGGAGACTTGAAGGTGCATTAGGTCCTAAGTAACATTGATCGATTCTCTTCGTCAGCTTTCTCTTTCGTTAATAACTTCAGCACATAACCGTTTTTAGTTGTGTTTGTCGTATTTCCAAGAGGGTGCACTTCAATCATGTCGAAAATCTCATGTAATTTTTATGGCCACAAAAATAAACAAATGCAGTAAAAGCAGCGTAATGTCAGTTCATGCACTGTATTAATGATAATGTTGTCCTTTTTGGCAAGTGATAGGGGAAATGGCTCTAATCTTGGCCTTTGGATCTAAGATTGGGTCCATCGCTGAAAATCTAATATTTGTCAATTTTATCTAGATGAACGCGTCATTGGGACGGCACTAATAGATTTTTTTTGTCGCTATTAAAAATTTAGTCGATTAGGGACATTTAGGCCGACATTGCATCCATTTCCCCTATTACACCATATTTTCGACACGATTGAAGTGCATCCACTTTGGTATGATATTATATTTTAATTTAATTATATAATTTTTTGCTGTGCAATGCATGAATTTGTTTATTATGTGGCAAAGCACAAGGATACTCTATGCCCAGGGAAGTCGAATTTCCAATCCGAAAGATTCCCTCCACCGGACCGGGAATCGAACCCGCCGCCTCTGGTTTGGTAATACCGTGCCTTTACTGGCTAGGCGATGAGGCCCCTAATGTGCTCCTAACCACCAATTCGGGATATAATCCCAACTTTATGTGATACGGTCGTACCATCTATGATAACGTTAGTGTATGGTACCCGTTTATTAGGGTTAATTCAACTCATCCCCCATCTGATAGTTGGCATTAAACATCGAATAAAGCAAGTCCGAAATCGTCTAATCCAGACTTTAGTGCTGGTTCAATCGACCAAGTTTGTGCAAGAAATTGATGCGCCAATGTAAATCAGCAGCGAAAAACTGTTTACATCATGCTGATAATAATTATTGATAATGACGGCTCACTGGCAATAGTGAATCAGCGCACGTGTAAACTGAGCACAGATCTGATGTGGTGTCGTACGTCACAACTCACAACATTTGCCGTGGTGGAAGAGAGACACTAGTTCTAGAGATCTGTGTGAATACTGCTCATGTAGCAGTTTGTCTTGCTAAGCTTTATCTCTCGTAAGTACGGCTCTCAGCGCTCTGTGTACTCCCTTAGACTCATCTCAATCTCAAAAGCTGGGTATAGACACCCGCATAAACAATAACGATAAGAAGCGCCTAAGCACCAATTCGGGATATCATCCTAACTTTAGATGGTATTGTTGTACTATATATGTATATCGTTAGTGTGCGGTACCCGTTAATTAGGGTAAGGAAAGTCAATTGATCAATTGATCAACTCACTTGAACGTGGATTGAATGTGTAAAACTGCGTTTATGGCGAGGGGGGCAACACATCTAAATTTGAATTCCAGTAAAACACAATTTTTCTTGCATCGTAGATAGAGTCGCCCCCTGGCTTTATTGGGCAAGTGAGTTTAATTCAATTCACCGCAATTCAGTTGATATCGAATAGCGCTAGTCCGACATCAACCAAATTTCTGGACATTCATTTCGCAGTTCATGTGAGTTGAGCGCTGAATTTAATCATCAAACCCGGCTTTGGAGTCCAATTTAATTTTCTCCCTATTGAATTTCAAAATGTTTGCGCCATAGAGCCATACTCTGTGTTTTCACTGACGGTGAATCTTCAAAGAAAACATGGAGTGTGACTGTACGGTGCAACATTTTTTAATTTGATAAGGAGAATACTACACACTTAGAAATAACTACTTTTACACGAAACGCAATCCATATTCGACGTAAATCATAGAACGTAAACAAACATTTCATGTAAAATTAAGTGTTCTCAAACCGTCGACGAAGAGAACGTTTGATTGAATTGATTTTCACGTTTCTTTCAACTGATTCTTATGTCAAAAGGCCCGCTTACATGTGTTGGTCTCAGGGAACCTAAATTTACATAACTTTTTAGTAGTGTGTAGCATTTATCTATATATTTTAAAATAAATTAACTGAAAATGTAATTGAACTTAACGTTAGCTTTCTATATGAAAAAGTAATGAGTGATGCTCCAAAATGCTATCTATCCCTGTCTGTATATGTTAAGGTGCAATCCACTTTGAAGCGTTTTCCAAAAAGTCTAACCCAGTCGCCCTCGACAAATCACCCCCATTGCAGAAAGCCGTCGACATCTTATTTGTTTATTTTATTTATTTTCTTTATTTTATGTGAAATGGCAAAAGGAATAGAAGTTTCTCCGAGAACAGTAGGAATTTACAAGATTCCGCTGGTCAAACTGGAACAAGATAACAATCCATGATAGGATTCTGAGCAGTTCTAGGCCAAATAGCGAAAATATAAAAATAAATTAGATTTTACCTCTCAGAATAACAAAAGCCTCGCATTATTTCACATTTTTATTTTTATTTATTATTTATGCAGAAAACATTTTTTTTAGGCCAAAAATTCGTTTCCTATACCCAAATCACATATTGCGTAAACAAATAGAACGAAAATTTTATTGCAGGTAGATGTTCTACGATTTTGGTTAATGTTAAAGTGTCCCTTGTGTCCATTTCAGAATAGTTAGCATTCGAATGAACAGAAGTAAAAATCTTAAAAAATTGATTTTTTTTTTTGTTTTTGAAGTTTTTAACAGTTTTTTTTTTTTTTTTTTTTTGACGAAATTTGGGATTTTTTTTTCAATGCGTATTTCCTAAGATTTTGAATCAGACTTCATTTTAATTAGATAAACCAATATCGTGCAATGATTTATTGAAAAATATCGAAAACGCCATTTTGAAAAATTAGGTGAGAGTCAAAATAACCGAACTCCGGCACAAACTTGGTTAATTGTCCCCAGTGAACAATTATGCAAAGTTTCATGGAATTCGTAGAGGGAATAAAGAAAATCGATTTGTCAGTTGGCGTAGAACTGCTCTTTAGCGTTAGCGTTAGCGTTGTTACGGTATACTTCGTAGATTCGATACTAGTAACACTCACGTCTCTTTTGAAATTCTCAGTCAGACTGCTTTCAGGAATAATGCTGGGAAGTAAACATTAATTCCAATCTAAAAAAGAATACCAAAAGCATAACTGTCGCTATTCCCGGCCACGACCAGCTTACCGTAACTAGGGGTAGGGAAGATAATGTTGGCAAAATCGTCAATTGTTGGCGTATGGAAGCTAAAATCAAGGAGAAAGTAATGGTGTATGGTTCATTACCATGTTTTCTACGAAGATCGAGTGATTTCTAACTACTATTCAATTTTCATACTGCCGTATTCTAACGGAACTCTCCACCTACCCTCTTCTAAAGATCATTCTCTAGCTAATAAATTATCACACTAAAGCTTCATGTTAGCATTTCCAACCAACTCTGAAAATCGCAAACTTCGCGTATGAAGTAACATAAAAACACTTTGAATGTACAAACTCAAGGCGGAAATAGTCGTCAACAATGCTGATGATGGTACAGCACGCAATAACCACCCTACTGCTTTCTCTCTGAGATGACCAAGTTGGTCATACTTCTAGTTTCAGGTTGGGATAGTTCTAGCGACGTTTCATCACTGCCTAAAGCCCCTACTGCTTTCTCTCTGAGATGACTATATCAAAAAAATAATTTTGATATCACATCAAAGTGGATGCACTACAATCATGTCGAAAATTTCATGTAATTTTTATGACCACATAAATAAACAAATGCAGTAAAAGCAGCGTAATGTCAGTTCATGCATTGTATTAATGATAATTTTGTCCTTTTTAGCAAGTAATAGTACACCATATTTTCGACATGATTGTAGTGCATCCACTTTGACGTGATATCAAAATTATTTTTTTGCTGTGTGGTTTATCGAGAGTTAAGGAATAGAAATAGCTTTATGCTCTCGAAACTCAGCGAAAAAAAAACCCATACATAAAAAAAGAATTCGTCAACTGCAACAAATTTCGCGGTATTTCCCAGCCGAAGCCAAATTTCGCAGAACTCGCGGCTTTCGTGCATTTCCACTGTCTTTAGACATTACCAAGCACATTACTACCAGAAAATCAATCATTTATCTTGTCCTTGTAGCCTATTAGCATATTGCTCACAGAAAGAATTCGATACTATAACTTTGTAAAATTTAAACAACTACAACTTTGTTGACAACTGGTTTTTTTATAATGTATAATCATAGATATGGTCAAATAGCTGCATTAATTCAACTCAATCACTCTTTCAAATCAAAGATATGTGACAAATTGGTGTATTTGTAAAATCCATGATGACAACTAGTTTGTAGGCCATCCCAAACGTAACGTTACATTTGAATGATGAAAATTAGCACTTGGTTCATTTCTCACGTTCCCCTCACTAGTTCAACGTTTCTCGTGACATTAAATTTTCTCACTATATACGAGCCACAACTCTATCCATCTTACAGTGAGTGTATCATCACAATGCATTTGAACACATGAATTCAAAGAGTACCCACACACTCTTTAAACTCCAATAAGAATGATAAAGGATTGTCAGTTTCAGTTTTTGGCAAGTTATATATCTGAAAAACATCGACATGAAAAACCTAGAAAATTTGCTGATTTATTTCAGCAACCTTTCCGCATTCTACATATTCAGCGTAGCCACTTCGATAGCAGTTGTTTTGTTAACCGTATACCTAGGAATAGTGACTAGGTATTCGACTGGAATCAACGATCAGGCAGACACAAAATCACAACACCAGCCACAGGTAAAATTGGAAGAACTCTCAAGGTCACTGCAGGCTAATCAAAACATTGCTTCTAGAGCCATTTGACCACCCACGATTCGGACAGTGAAGAAGCTGGCAGCGAGGACGAACGGCTTAGAATTGAATCAGTTCGACAGCTTAAGTCAGCCAAACTCAAATCATTGGAGAAACAGTTAACCGACGAACAACGACAAGCTGAGAAGGAGTAAGATTTGCATTAACAAACCTCAATTTAATACTTATTATTATTTTATTTTTCAGAATCGAAAAAGCTCAATTGGCCGCAATTTTTGAGTTGTTGAAAAAACAAAGCGAAAGATTTGATTCTGAATCCAATTTGAATGAAGATGATTTGAAAGAGCAATTGAGTTTATACCGGTGAAGCAGTGAGAACCCCGTATTGGTACAATGATATTTGTTTTTAAAATAAGTTTTAGTAATTAACTAATTTATGCATAGCTGTATATGTAGCAATGTAAGATTGATTATCTTGATAGCAAGATAAAAGTCATTATCCAAATGTAAGTGGAATAACGCTAGTCAAAATTAAATATTTAGTAGCACATAAACATTGTTTTACATAATTTTAGGTTCTTTAGCCATCTCCACACGGGTTATCCATGAGCAATGTTAACAGTTTTTGAGCATGCAACTTGGAGACTCACCCTCCGTTTGATAGTTATGGATGCTACAAAAAAAAACTTTTGTGAACCATGATTTAGAAAAAGGCGATTTAAATGTAGTACCATTAAGATTAAAAAGTCCTATTTTCATTATTACGTTACCACTGTGACGATTTACTTGATCTATTGTAGTACATTCCCCTTTGTGAATCTTAAAAGGGTGAAAAACTACCACGCGAAGTATCAATGAAAGCCATTGGCGAAGGTACTGTGGGTGCCAAGGGGGCCAGCCCCCCTCCAGAATTATCTAGGCCCCTCCTCCAGAACTTTTGGGGTTTTTTTAATTCACCGGTATTTTGTCAAGCTTGTCAAGTTCGGTGCTACTAATCTTTTTTTAAGTCCTTTATGTCAACTACTTTTCATATGTTCTGGACTAGAAGTAGGAATATTGATAAATTATATTATATATCGTTATTTAATCGATGGCATAATTAGACGTCTTCAGGCACTACAAGTTGGCCATGAGCCCAGCGATTTTTCTTGAACTGGGAATGTTGTAAAACTTCAAGGACTTCTAAGAAGTTCAAGGAACATCATTAAAATTGAGGAAACTTATTAATCATTTTGGGAACTTCATAGATCTACAGAAAAATTTCGTAGAAACAAGAAACTTGGAAAAGTTATGAAAACTGCGTAGAAGTGTTATTTGAGTTTGAGAAGCTTCGTAGAAGTTGAGGGAACATTATTTTATTTCAGGGAAGCTCATTATTGATCGGAAACCTCTATATCATATCGGGGCACTTTTTTGAAGCCTCATGGTCTTGGAATAGTAGTGGAAATTACGTTCGTGTAACTTCGCGGAAGACCATCGAGAAACGTAGAAGTACAGCACACTTTGTAGAAGTTTTGCGAATTTCGTAGTATTTTAAAACTTCATTTAAGTGTAAGGAATTTTGAAAAAGTACATTGAATTTTGTAGAAGATCTAAAGATAGTTCAATAAACTTCTAGGAACTCAAGGCACCTCGCTTCAGTATAGGAAACTTCGTTGCAGTTTGTCAGAGATCTTAGTTCGAAAAAGCTCCCTGAACTTCTTGGGGGTTCTGAGAACTTCTTTAAATTTCAAGGAACTTTTCAGGTGTTTAAGAATATTTGTAGATGTTAGGTACCTTTCCAGAAGTGCAAAGATGTTGAGAGATCTTCGTAGAATCAAGAGATTGAAAAAAATATTGTATATGGAATAAATTCAGGGATCTTCGTAGAAGTTGAGGAAATTTAGTAACACTTAAGGGAGTTTTGTAGATGTTCAGGAAACGTTGCATAAGTTACAGGATATTCTTTCAGACATCCTTCCTAGACAGCAGGAAATATTCAAAAGATCTCCATATGCACAAAGATATTAGTAAAGTTCTCTGGATATTTTTCCAAGACTTCAGGTTGATCAAGTTCTGAGGATTCCAACTGTTTAAAAATGAAATGTTCTTTCAAGAATGTAGGTTGTTCAGGAAGTACCATAATCCGGGGGGAAATGATCACCGTGGTGAAATTGATCATAATGTGTTGCACTTTTAATTGTCATGTATAACATGGTGTATAACGGTGATGGATATCAAGAAAAATCTTAAAAGTATCTCATTTTGAGACTCTAATGATTGCCTTGATGTGTTTTTCATAACAAAACATATATTTTATTGCATAAATTTCAATTATGAACAGCTGACGTTCAGTAGCATTCAATATCAACATCTAAACGAACGATCATAGGACTGCAACTATTGATGTCATTACCTTTAAAGTAGCACGTTTTACTAAACTAAGTGTCAATGAACCCGAATTATTTAATAAATTGGGGTAGAATGTTTCAAATATCAAGAAATCCAGGGAAAGCGGCGCCGGTGGTGTAGTGGTAAGCGTGATTACCTCTCACCCCAGCAGGTCTGGGTTCAATCCCAGTCGGCGCTGCCGGGATGTTCTGAGGCATAACATCTCTGATCACGCCTTCCTTCGGAAGGGAAGTAAAGCCGTTGGTCCCCGGTTCATGAGTTGATCGGTCGATAGGTAGGGTTCAGGTGTGGGAGCTGCCTTTCTGGCGTCGGTAGCATTGGTGCTCAGCACGGAAAACAAGTTGACAGAAAACAAACCAAAGGAAAAAAAGGATTTTTTTTTTGGGTTTCTACCCATCTCGCACAAGGTTTTAGCAACAATCAATACGAAACTAACGATTTTAAATTGGCTCACTACTTGACTAGCCTATTGGTCCCAAGCAAATTTACTAACGTACCCCATTCTAGTCGAAATTCCAGTACTACACTGTGTTTGTTTTGAATCGCTATGAAAGTTTGACAGATAAAATGAGGGTGTTCAGTAGCGGGTATATAGCTAAAAGCAGAATCCAACTCTAGTGTGAACTCTACGTTAGTTTAGTTATTGCTGTTCATTTCTTTCGTGCAGTTTACAATACATACACATCATCAGCTGTTCCTATTAGATTTAAGTCGACAGTATGAGTAATAAATTACATTCCTTATCAGTAGCTCAAGAAGTGAAGATCAAGAACCAAATTTGTAGTCAATTAAAAGTGAGTGAAACCAATAAACTGAAGTTTAAACGGTGGTGTAAAAAGTGGATTTTTGTGAGCTTGGTCTATCGATGACCATTTGACTAATTGTGGCGAGCCATAGCCGAAGAGTAGGGTCCAGATCGGCCACATCCTGCCACTAAGTGAACCGTTTCCCCAACAGAGGGGTTAGTGGATTTGCCTATGTTTCGAGGGGTGAATCGATTAGCTTGGGACCGAAGATAGTACCAGAGCTGAGCCAAAAATTTGAGCACGTTTATTCGGGACCTTCTGGTCTTAGAGTTACCACTATGGTTTTAGCATATGAATCTGATTCAATGAACCATATTAAATAAGAACAATTACTAGAAATTCACGCTAATTAATATAACCATAAGAAAGAACTTAACGACGTGTTCGGGGTATCATCCAAACCATTTGTGGGATTGTTTTACCATCCGGGTTACCGTTCGTAAATTATTTTTGTTTATTAGGGAAGCCATTTGATGGTTTGATCAATTTCACCCTATATCGATATTTTCAAATTTAAGATTTTAAAAATTTCCTGAAAATTAACAAAACATCCAATATTTCAAGAAATTATGCAGGACGATCAGGTGGTGGAATCTGCCTCCCTGGTGTCGGTAGCATTTGTGCTCAGCACGGAACCAAACCAAAGGTAAAATAGGAATTTGAGCGGGGTTCTCTCTGTTTACACTCTTAAGTATGACACACTTGACATAGATGGCCCACAGCGACTCACGAACAGTGATGCAAATTATCATGACACACACGTGACACTCGTCTACGCATCAACCGACTATCGCTGGCAGAACGTTTTGTCCCGCAGTGAGAGGTACAGCCATGGCAAACAACAATCACAAGTAATGGTCGCTGCTCACAAGCAAAACGTTACACTCGCTGCTGATGATGAAAAGTACAACGAAAACAGACTTCTTCTGCAGTAAGATTATGAGAAAAAGCGAAACGACAGAAGAAAATGAAAACAATGCCTTCGTACTCCAAGTTCGTCTCGGCAGGCACAACTGTGTGAGTTACAAACAAAGCAGGCAACACTAAACGCAAGCTGTTGGACTCACTCACCAACACACTCACATAAGCAAGCAAAGCAGCAACTGCTTCAAAACGAGCACAGATGAGTATCGTGATTGTCGGAAATGACCAGATCGGTGATGGATCACAACCGAATATGACATTCACCAGTTGCTTTTTACATCTTTCGTCAACTTGATGGATGGTCATGACGAGAGCTTCGACGAGCACATTGATAGGAATGTACAAAGCGTTACTACCATCAGCTGGTTGATGATCGTGATTGTGATAGCAACTCTTTAGCAACTTTGCTCACGAAGAGCTACTGATTCCGATCAATAGCGGTGCGGCTTCTTCCTCCTTCTATGGATGCTCATGTGGGTTGCAGCTCGCTGCTTGCAGGCAGTTTTTCGTTGTGTACTAGAGAACACCAGCACTCACCACGCAGTGATTGAATAAACACCGTTTGGTGAGACCGGATGGAATTCAACTTTGAAATCTGTGCTAGGGAAATCACTTTTTGCAGGCAATCGGTGATAATTTTAATTATCTTAGCAACAGTTGTATATTCGTGCAATTTTCATTAGTGACATTTTGAAAAATGATAAAGTCTTAAGTTTAACAGATACGAAGGAATATTTCTGATCGATTGGTGATAAAATTATTGAAATTGGTCCAGGGACAGCTGAGTTATTACTGTTCAAAATCTTTCATAATTTGGTTACATGTTCCATATTCGGTTTTCACAAAGTTTACCCCCATATAGAAATTACAGACGTAGTCCTACGTCAAAAACCAAGATTTAATAAAATAAATAATTTCGCAGAGTTCGCTCTCAGCTATTGCAAAAACCAGCAGCAGCAGCAGACGTACCTCTCGGTACCTAGATCACACGATCACGCACACAGCCGTAAATAAATAAAAATATTACATCCAAGAGGATGCACTTCAATCATGTCAAAAATCTCATGTAATTTTTATGGCCACAAAAATAAACAAATGCAGTATAAGCAGCGTAATGTCAGCTCATGCACTGTATTAATGATAATTTTATCCTTTTTGGCAAGTAATAAAACACTATATTTTCAACACGATTGAAGTGCATCCAATTTGATGTGATATTGAAATTAATGTTTTGCTGTGTATAGTCGATAGAAGTTATTGTTTCGGAATGCTTTGTTCATATTGTGAAGCTTGTTAGGTTACTATGCAACCTCTGGTTGAAGATGGTGTCAATTGTCTTTAAGCGTTTCATTCGAGGGTAATTCCTCGCGAAGTAGAGTCATGCACCTGCAGCTGAATAAAGTGCAACTTATATATTGTTTCATGGATCAACAGTCATCAGGATATTGAATGATTAATCTATTCTATAGATTAAAATATGCTATTTTTCTTTATTATTTTGCTTTTTCTAGCCACTAGAGCGTCACCTTACCGTGATATTGAGCCCCGATGGGAGTTTTTGTTTTGTTTGTGTATGTGTGAGTGTGTGTTTTTGTTTTGTTGCTGTCATATAAATATGTTCTAATCCATTTCATGACTCAATTTTTTCAAGATCTAGCTAAGATGCTTCCAGATTCTCAGTTCACGATGACCTTCCAGTATTCAACACTTATGCTAATGCCACTACATTTTTCGTCACATCCGGTCGCACATACATTCAATTTACCAACTACTTAGATGTATGTACTACTATGTTACAAGAAATAATATCAATGAACCTGCCTAGTTATGCCTTGTCCATTAAGAGCAGAAAAAGTGACTTATCATTGGAACGACGATATTGCGACTTTGTTAAACTTTCTCGCGTTTTATCTTTGAAAACCCTCAACGGAAAACTATAATTATTTTACAGTCAGTTGATTAAAGCTCTTCTAGGATTTTGTTCGTCTTTTCATATCAGTACAGAGCATTCGACGCTATTTGAAAGCTTTGTCTTCTAACGATTTGCTGTAGTGTAGCGTTGTCTAGCGTATGGTGGATACCTCTAGAATGGACTGGGTTGCATTAAACACTACAGTTGTTGCTATTGTCACTAAATTGCTGGCATCAAATGAGCTACTTGCTTCTGTATCTACGCTTGTTGGCAACTGGTTTAATACTGTGGTTGATTGCGGTACCGTGGACGTCACGGCTGATGATATGCTGCTAGTAATCTCTGGATTGAGAGTTGTTGTGCTAGTTTGAAATATTGCTGATGACAAAGTAGTGAGAATTGCTGTCGCTAGTGTTGTAGAGCTTGTTGAACTACTAATGCTTAGGTTGCTGAACGGTGGTTGATTGGGCTTAGGAGGAACAAATGGATATTGTGGGCATGGGTTAGGTAGTTGTGGACCCAACATAGACTCGAAAACGTATCCAACCAGCGAACCGGCTGTCAGTCCCAAATTGTACGAAAGTGTCATCATGTTACCGGTGACTTCACGTAGTGTGGCTGAGACCTTGTCTGGCGCGAGCATCATAGGCAAGCTTCCAGCCAATCCGTTAGTAACGCCAAGAGCAGCAGTAAAAACGAACGCTGATGCTTCTCCAGCAATGACAGGTTGATCGCGCGGTGAACAACACAGTAGTATGAGTGGTACAAGCAAAGCTCTTAAGCCGGACATTAGAATAAGCTGTCTTCGAGACCAGCTGTATGGTACTGCAGCCAGTAGTTTTCCCACTACATCGGATGTATTGAACGTAAACATGAGTAGCACTGGCATCCACGTTCCCAAATTGCAAGAAATTATTTCCGACTCTATTCCCGGATACAAGGAGAGAGTAACACAATATGCAAGTGCTATGCAAGCCATATACGGGTAGATGGCGTGAGCTACCTTCCATCGCGACTCGAGACCACCTGTGGATTAGAGTATGTTAGATTTTGTTTAATTCGTACTCACAACATTGTGTAAACAAACTTCGAAAACTGCCGCAACGACCGGCACTGCAAATATCTGGAGTCATCACGTGTTCGACTTTGAAGGCAACGTTCGGAACATCATGTGATGCCGTTGCAGATGTGGGTGACGTGACCGGGCGGTTGGTTGTATTGTTATTAGTTGTTACACTAGTTGTAGTAGACGTTAGATTGTTGATGTTTGTCTCCAGCACATTTTCACCACCACTTGGATTGGATAGTTCGTACACTGGATTACTGTAAAACCCCATGTAGTTTAATATACTGTTAAAACAGGAAATAATCTGAAAACTACCTAAAACTGAGCGTTGTAGTTCCAGGTGTTATATGAACCGGTGGACTAGACTCCAGGGATAACACGCCATACCGTGCAGTTGATAACTCATTGTCTATAGTATCACTCTGGAAAATAAAAAAAAAACTGTTGTTGTACCGATACAAATGTGATCAAAATAAGCATCAACAAACCAGTGTATGGTCGTCGTCAGGTCGAAGTACAATTTTGGCACAAGCCTTCATGTGATACCGTACAAATGGGGAATGAGTAGTTATGGAATGTAGTACATAGCTGAAGGCTATGTAAACTGTCGACGTTAGGAAAAATATTGCTGTTGATGCTCGATCGCTTTTAATAAGTAGTTTTGTTACAACGCGATTGGAAGAAACCAAAAATCCAGCAATGCCTAAAAAGAAAGTATACATCACACTCGGGTAATTAATCCCATCAGAACGGACATACTCTCTCCCGCCATCACAGCCTGTGTGTACTGCTTCGGTAACATACTTGCGAATCCGTAAAAACTTGATTGCTGTATTGTGCATCCCATAGCCACCAACGAAACAGCAGCCAAATTGACGGAGTATGCCGTTTTAGCGCTGAACATGTGCCAAGCTACTTCACAAAGTGCGACGAAAACTAGTGTAGTGAAGGACACCGCATATCCTAGTAGAAATAATCAATTGTTAACCAGTAACATTCGATTCCCTATAGCGACTACTTACCGAATGCAACACGCACTCGAAACGGCGCCAGCGATAGAAACACATTGTTCAGTAGTACAGCGCCCAATGCTACGATGATGTACGTCATCGACATGTCCAACGCTACAGATTGGCCCGGAAATCGAGACTGCCAATAATCGGATGCTATAATGAAACTGTAGAAGAAGAAAGCTCGAATAAATTTACTTATGATCCTATCTGTACATAAGAAATTAGTTGATGATTCCAAAATCTGAAAACGCTTTTCGGACGTATACTTAAGTGAAAAACGTGACCGTTAGGGTGGATCAAGCATGTATGGTAGTTCAAAACCCCCGGTTCCCACCGTTCATTCTATTTGTATTGAGGTGCTCAACTGAGCCAAATTTAAAAGAATTTTGTTACAGTTTAGGTTTGCAAAACAATTGTAATGTTCATATGAGAAAGCGTATGGCATGTCAACATCCCACGTTACTTAACATTTCCTATGGCTGATACTTAACATTGAGCAAACTACGCAGAACCACTTTATTGAAGACCGTGCAAAAATTTACTACACCTGTACTGCTCAAACCCACCCTTTGGCAGGGTAAGTTATAAGAGCTGAAACAAAAATAAATGATTTTATCAACAAATGCTGTACCAAGGCAATGGTTTAAATGCTACACTATTTATGTGCCATTTGAGTGACTGCTTGAAATAAGTTAGACTGATGAGAATATGAGACCGATCAGAATTTTCTGACAATTTCAGTTTCAACTGGCCAAGTGACTGGCCCAAGTCTAATTGTAATTCTTGCACCCGTCGTGGAAAAATTGAAAAAAAAAATATTTTAACAAAAACTGCTATAGAAACGCTAAATTGATCTAGATCAAATGATCCCTACCATTTTTTCATAATGACATGAAAGCCTTCCGAAAGTAAGTATGCAGAATCATCTTAAAGATCAAAACCATAATTTGTCAATATCAATTAAGCATGATGCTGGTTTGAAAAGGCACACCATCATTGGGATTCCATTGAACCTGTTGATATTGACAATCAAATCAATTAATAAATGTACTTATTGACCCACTTGCCCCGTGACTTATCTTGCCCCACCTTACGTAACATAAAAACACACAAACTTTAAAATTCTCCCGGAAATCCAGATCATAACCAAATTCCTTCATTAAAAAAAAATACAGTTAAAAAATACGGATTATGCAAAATGTGCAATAATTTAATTAATGCTATTAATACTCAATTAAAAAAATCCAAATCAGACGCATGGCAGTGGGGTTCAAAAGCAAAAATGCTTATCTTTTGTTTTGTTTGATTTATGAGGAAAGAATTGGATGACTACAAGTCGATTGTCAATTGTTGATTAATGGGTTCAAATTGATCAACGGGTGTGTAGGTTAAACCACAGAGAACAGACGTTGAGGCTCGAACAAAATTTCTCTAAAAACTAGTGAAAACGGCGACTTCCCCACTTAAAAAACCTCTTTGACAACCTGATTACACTAGACACTAAGTGCTGGTAGCGCCAAGTGGCAATTTTCAACAGAAAATTTATCAATACTAACGCCAAATTGGTCGAAAGTGGAAAATTTATAGAGGAAATCAGGAGATGCTACGCCACGTAACGGCGATGTTCCCACTTATCTTTACAAAAGTTTCTGACCGAAGTTGGACGTCTGTTCTCTGTGGTTAAACGTACTAATTTTCGACCTAGCACTAGATTTTGACCCTTCCATACAAATTTATAAAAAATAAAACCTTGAGTTTAACGCATAAAGCAACTTAATCATTTTCAAATCATCTGATACAAGAAAATTAGGCGAATCGAGTATAAATTGCATGGAAAAGGTTTATATTTAGCCCTTTTTTGGGCAAAACGTTCGAAAATTAATGCTAGGTCAAAAATCTGTTCCTTCACCCAATTTGATCACTGGGGTTTCTCAAAGTTTTTGTGCATATCTAATACTTTTGTGTGTTGAATGATGTTGAAATAGAATACATTCCTTTGCCCTGAAACAACAAAAATATTGCACTTGAAAAAAAAAAAACATTTAGGAATATCACACACCGCCGATTGCCCCCGTTTGACGGTATGTAATTATCAACATTCAATTAGGGATCGTCCATTAATTATGTCACACTTTTAGGGGGGGAGGGGGGAGGGGGGTTTTTGGAAACTGTGACGAGCCATACAAAAAAAAATTGTAATAGTAAGGTTTTGTACCACCTCAATCGGCTGACAATTCAGTCGTGCTGTTTACGTGGACTTGTAGATTATTTATTGCGCAGATTTTCTCGATAATTTTTCAGACTGCAGTGAGATGCAAAACACAATTCTGCAATGTCCGCGAGAAACATCCTTTCACCGCGCATTTTCTTGACAATTTTCAAATTAAAATCCAGAAATTAAAAAACAAATTCGAAGAAACTTCTAACTGCTTGTAAACAGTACTGCTGGACTGTCAAAAAGTTCATCCGATGTAATTGTGACATCCCGCTGCAGTACCTGCACGGGAAAACATCCGATTCCATTTCATGAATAAAAAAAAAACTTGCCATCCCATGAAATCATAGCAATGATTCATGATTTCGCTATGGATATTCATGATTTCATATAATGCAGCGGAATCATGACCGCTTCAAGCGTTACCTGGAAAGCCGTGTTCACCGCACTACATAGGTATCTCTAATATGCCTTTTGTCATCCTTCTTATAGAAGTACTAGTCTAGTGGTCAAAGTATGGGTTTTTTATGATTGTAAAGTTCTTGGTTCGAATCCAGTATGATGCTATAATATTTAATTTATTTTTTTACATATTTTGGATTAAAAGCTAAAAGTTAATTTCATGAATTTAGTTCATGAATTTAACTCGGATGATTCAATATTTCGGGAATCTTTGGTGCATTACGCAAACATAGCTCATGATATCATGAATATTATATTATTCATGGTGTATTTTCATAACATGAAAATACGCTATGCTCATGAAATCAAGTGTAATTTTTCTCATTTCGGATTTTTCCCGTGTGATAAAACAAATCTCGAGTGAATATTTAAATCGACGTCAGTACATTTGTAAACAATGCAATGCCTTCAAACGTAAATTTACTAAACGAAACTGATAACTCGCCCACGAAAACTAACACCACCATCATTTACCGGAAAATTTTACCACAATTTCATTTTTTTCACCCTAGCGAATTTGGTTGGGATTGAACCCTGGCACATTGGGTGAGCTTAGAATTATAGAATTATCTAGTTAAAGCACTGGCCAGACTAAGCAGTTATAACATGTTATAACGGTTCCCAAATAATTGCACCACAGAAACCACAGTCAAGATATCGCAATAACATGTTATAATAACTCTGAACGGCTCGCTGAACGGTCATGAACGGGTTAAAATACACTTCATCATATTCCCATCATTATTCCTCACACACCTGTTATACGGTAGCACAAACCCCACGCCGGCCGTCATCAAAGCAAAAAATACTAGCTTCCTCCTATCCTTCGGTGGTCCACCACCCTCCATCTCCGGACTGTCAGAAGTATCGAAAGCCCTTCGCCCTTCCAAGGGTTCATACGATGTGTTACCAGCGTTTTCTGAAGCCTCCATCATATTATTTTTAATAACGATGCCAAACGCGAGTTTATCACTCAATCACTGAGGTTTCACAAATGCTGTCCAGTAATATGCAAATGCTGATCCACCACAGCACAATTTATAACAAATTCATTTCGATCAGTCTTTAGCTTTGCACAAAATCGATATTCAGGAGTATCTTGCTTCGCCTAGTCTATCAAATGAATACACCTCTGCTGCATCAAACTGATTTTTTTCTGGCGAAACAAAGTCGTGCATCATCGTAACCACATTTTGAATCCATCAATGCACAAACTGAATGTCGCAATTTAGCATTCTTATCCCGAAAAAATAATCATAAGCAATCACTTTAATAAAAATATTCACTCTTCCGATCGTTCCGATATGTCTGCTCGAGGTTGAATGCTGGTGCAGAAAAATATGACATAAATTGAGTCCCTTTGCGCATGTTGCAATCTCAGTTTTTCCGCGCTCTTGTTCGATGGGAGAAATGTGGAAACACAAACAACATCACCCCCATTTCTCGCTGAGAGACCAAAACAGAGAAGAAAATAAGTGTTTATATTTGCATTGATTCAATAATTTTGTGAAACCGGTAGGTAGATGCCTAGCACGCAGTTGGCATCGATCCACAGTTCTCTCAGTAGAATGGGCACCAGTGTGCAGTAGGGGTTAATGTACTAATAATCGGCACTACTTTAGAAAATTTCACATTTTTATTCACGAGATATACACTGTCTTGCAATGCAATGAGCACCATTCTTCTTCTTATTCTTCTTCACGCAGAGAAATGATTTTTAAATTCAAATGGATATATTTTTGGCTCAGGGCCTAATATATTTTTGGTCTTGATTTAAATATATTATTCGGTTGATTAAAGGAAAAATATTTTTGAATCAACAAATAGGTTGTAGAGTCAATAATCTGATTGTTGATTCTAAAAACTATTTTGTTGATTCAAAAATATGTTTTGTTGATATAGTGATAAAATATGTTTGAATCAATAACAAAATACATTAGGCCCTGAAACAAAAATCAATTTTTCTGCGTGTTCGTATTTCAAGCTTATTGCATATCGCATATTAGCTTATTGCGTGCTCTCAACATAGTGTTCTAGATGCACTTCCACCATTTTTGCATTGGTATAATTGTGTGGCAAGGCAAGTCCAATCATACTTCTATGCCCAGGGACGTCGAAAAATTTTCCAAGCCGAAAAATTCCTAGACCGGACCGGGAATTGAACCCAGCCACCTCCAGCATGGTCTTGCTTTGTAGCTGCGCCTTTACCGACTGAGCTAAGGGCGAGGGGGCGACACATCTAAATCTCAATACTAGATGCTCAAAAAATTTCACACTAGCGAATCAAGAAAACTCTTCTTTCAGTTCTCGCATCTATTTGCATCGCGCATCATCTTTTTGCAGGAAATCTTCAAAATCGTGGTAAATCTCCTTTCTATCTACTCAGCGTACGCGCAGCTAGCCACAGTAAAACACAATATTTTCTGCATCGTAGATGGAATCGTCCCTCTCGGTTAAATGCTTGTTCGATGAACGACTTGCGAGAGTTATGTCTGTTTGTCTGTGGTGTAGGTATATACGCTTGATTCTCATGTGAAATAAGGTTTAATTAGACGCTATTATACATTTATTAAACGATTATTCAACTAAGGGATAATTAATCCGAAAATAAGAACTGGACAGAGCATGGTTGTTCTCTCGTTAGTGATTATTGTGTCATTATTTCGTCGGAGCACGCACCCTCCCTCTCCCTCACATAGATCCTTGAAAAGTTTATAACATGCATTCATACATACACACATGTCGTTAGATGGAATTCGAAAACCATGACCTTTCGATCACCAGCCGCTTGCCTTGCCATCTGCGCTATCCTAGAATACATCATATGGGCAGCAAAATAAGTAATACAAGTTTGAATCTGAAAACCTATCAGCACTCCCAGCCGTAACTCTAGCCAATTCAAGGAGATGTGAGAATGATTAATTCATTCATAGTTGTTTAACATGAGACCAATGTTACCTCTCCATCTATCTAATTTCGATGGAAAGGATGCTATTCTTTTCGATAGATCTATGAATTGGTTGTCGTGAGTTATACGATCTATGATTACGATTTAAATTAATTAGGCGTAGAAAATAAATAAAAAAATGGTTGAGGACTGGGATTGAACTCGCGACTTTCTACTTGGAAAGCGGAAACGGTAACCACTATGCTACCAATTTCGTTTTGTTGTTAGCCTGAAGCAGTGTTGTCCAATAATGAATCTAATACGTCGTTTATAAAGCATTTACAATGCATTCAACTAAAACATGGACACATAGTGGTATAAGAGCTATTTTGCTGACTGTATTCACCTTTATCCAGCAATATTGTAAATCAATGCAATGAAATCTTATAATGGAGCTAAAAAACATTTATAAGACGTCCAATAAAGCATTTTATTAAAGCAATTGAAAACAGTCGAATTAAAGCGACAATGTATGTGCAAATTACACTTATTCAGTTTGTTATTAGATCAAACTTCTGTTTCTGAATCAGGAAGACAGTCAACGTTTATAAAGCTTTTAATAAGTAAATTAGTCACATCAGAGCAAACTGCGGAATAAAGGCGCATCTATCTATCTCAATGAGCTTTCTTCAGCACATAATTCGACATCCTGATGTATTAAGCATTGTACACTGTTATACAGCATTTATACAATGTGTATGCTTATTTGTGACTGTGAATTGTTTGTTGGGTAGAGTCGTCCCCTCGGCTAAGGGAGGCCCCATTAAGCACTCATACATCTAGTTTTCACTGGAAATTTTTATGTATGAGTGCTCATAGCAAGATAGCCTACATTACGAGATATAGGCTGTAATGTGAACGAGGTATAAACCGATCACAACTCAAAACAAAATGAATTGTTAAAAATTAGTTCATAAATAAACCATCAAAGCATCTAATTTACAAACTTCAGTTTTGACCCCAAGGAATATGTACAATTTTTAAAACGTCTCAAGCGAACCCCACACGTATTACGAGGGGGAATTATATTATAATATTGATAATGTTAATACAGAATTATTCCTGATGAATGTGGGCGTCTTAATGGAATATCTGTATAATTTGGTGTAGTGGTAAGCGTGATTACCTCTCACCCCAGCAGGCCTGGTTTCAATCCCAGTCGGCGCCGCCGGGATGTTCTTGAGGCATAACATCTCTGATCACGCCTTCCTTCGGATGGGAAGTAAAGCCGTTGGTCCCCGGTTCATGAGTTGATGGGTCGATAGGTAGGGTCCAGGTGTGGGAGCTGCCTTCCTGGCACGTCGGTAGCATTGGTGCTCAGCACGGAAAACAAGAGCGACGGAAAAAAGTGGAAAAAAAAAGATACGCGTATTTCGTCTACAATGTGCAGACCTTGGTGCAAACTTCTTCAGTGTCTTGTACTAATACTCGACTAGATAGTCGAATATTAGTACAAGACACTGAAGAAGTCTGCACATTGTAGATGAAATGCGCGTATCTGTCAAGGATAAGCAAATAAGGTAGTGGAATTAAATAGAAATTACTAATCCTTCTATCTCTCTCATTATACAGAATTATTGTATATACCGATGTATTGACGACAATATACATATAATGTTTTGACAATACGATTGTCAATAAAAGCAAACATGTAGGATCCGCTTCAAATTTACATTTGATTTAGATATTTAGAAGTAGCTCACCAAGGGGTAAGTCACTCAGCACATTGTGCCAAAATTAGATTCGACACAGATTGGAACGCCTTCGGCACCATCTCGTACGCGCAAACCAAAAATTTATTACAATTAATGTTAGGTCCGTTTTCTATCATCCTCTGTTCATGAACATCGCAGCGAATATTAGAAGTTGACCTTGCAGACGATGCAATGCACAGTGGTCCAGAATGCAGATTTAGGTGGAATGATATGTTTTGAGCCTGAAATTGAAACTTTAGACTAAAAGTCTCTTCTACAAAGTTGTTCCTTATAGTTAGGCCCTCATTTTTTTATGACCATGAATTCTAGGGTGGTTCCTATTAACATTAAAATCAAAAATCTAACTTTTTTGTTTGAATAAATTAAGGTATACATTCTTCATCAAAGTTATAGCTGAGTTAATTTCAAGCAACTTTGTTGAAAATAACTTTTTTGTATCTCTTAAATTGGCCGATTTAGAGCTATTTTCTTGAATTGAGTTAGGGTGCACGGAGAACAAATTCGTTAAGTTAAGATAACAATTCTAATAGTTACTTTCACATGGAAAAATATTGTTGTTTGAAAGAAACCCATAGTTTTTTTTTTTTTCCTTTGGTTTGTTTTTTCCGTCGATCTTGTTTTCCGTGCTGAGCACCAATGCTACCGACGCACAGTGGCGGCACTGCGAACAAAAGTCGGACGAAACCTAAAATGTCAATGAAACTGGCTGAAAATGACATATTATGTTAATTTTGGGTGCTGAGTTCATTTTTGAAGTCAACAACCAATAAAAATGCAAACTAATCCCCCTAAAGTGCGAAATAATCTTTCGGATCAGAATAAATTTAATGACTGATAATTTATTGAGTTATTTCAACACATGATATTTTTAAGTTCATTTTATCTTGTCATCGAATCCGGTAATAATTTAAATAATCAAATATAGGGGCCGTTTAAACATTACGTAAAGCGAAACATTTCAGTTTCCATAGGGAAGATACACAAATGACGTTGCATATTTTTGATCAATTTTAGGTCCCCCCTCCCCCCTCGTAGCGTATTTTTCCATACCTAATACACGGCTGGTCACAACTTCTGAAACCCCCTCCCCTCTAAAATGCTACGTCATTTGTGGATCGTCCCATACCAAATTAAATGTTTCGCGTTACACGATATTTGGACTTTGTTTCCATATTCAATATAAACTAAAATTTACATTCTTTCAGATGTTTTACTCGGGTATTCAGTATGACACTGAAATATTTCATAAGAAAGTACTGTGCTGCTCTTATGTAAAATGCGGATGTTCCTAGAAGCTTGTTCAAACGTCAACCGAATACCAGAGTAGTTTAAAAAGTTTAAATGTGTTGACTTTGATACTGGAAGTTTCCGGTGAACTTTATCCGGCAGGAATTGAAAAAAAAATAGTAAAACAAGCAGTCGTAAAATGTGTTCTAAACCAAAAGGTAATTGATCTTATATTGAAAAAATGTATTATTTACATTTAATGATTGTTTTTTATTAAATTAGAAATGTTCTTAAAAAGAAAAAACATACTGGAAGCGGTCTATGCTATACCGGATTCGGAAGAAAAGCGTACTGCAATTACTAACTACATTGCAACATATGCTGGAAATATTGATGAAGAATGTAAGGAACATATTT